CCCCCAATTTTGCCCTAAAAGTGAAATAAAATGTACTTGACCGACATAAGTTTCCTCCTCGCACCCTCCTAATGTGAGGAAATGAGGGCTAGGGATATAAGGAGCTTGGGGGAGAGGGTTTGAGAGCTATCCCGCATGTTTGGGCTCAAGGAACCCAAAAGGTGTGAGATGGCAATGGGGACTCACCCCTGAGTAGTCCCAGGATTGCCCAACAGGCCCAATACCCCATTAGACCCTAGCCTTTCAGAAAGGCCCAGATCTAATGGGGTATCTAATCAATTTGGAACATACCAGGGAAACCTTGGTTTGTTCTGAATTAGTTTGTTTTTACCGGAGGCATCATTTGGACACTTCCAGTAAGAAACGAGACCGGTACCGCTATATAAGCCTATCTGAATGAGCTGTTTCAGTTGCACCTATTCTTTACATAAGGTGCATCTACACCAGTGGTTCTCAACCTGTGGGTCCCCAGATGTTGTGGTCTTCAAGTCCCAGAAATCCTAACAGCTGGCAAACTGGCTGGGATTTCTGTGAGTTTTAGGCCAAAACATCTGGGGGAATCACAGGTTGAGAATCACTTATCTACACTGTAAGAATTAATGCAGTTTGACATCCAGTTTAACTGCCATGGCTTCCAGTTATTGAATCCTTGGAGTTATAGGTTGGTGAGGCAACAGAACTGTTGGCAGAGAAAGCTGAAGAAGAACTTGTAAAACTACAGCTCCTTTGATTTCATAGCATTGTGCTTGGCAGCTAAAGTGGTGTCAAACTGCATCTATTCTACAGTGTAGATGCAGCCTAAGAAAACAAAGTTGGTAACATAAACTTGGGTAAACTTGGAGTGCATCAATACTGTATAATGAATTCAATTTGACTTTAGCATAGCCGGTAAATCACCAGCAATTATAAGATCTACCAACCAAAAGGTTTTCAAGTTCGAAGCATGAGCACCCGACTGTCAGCCCTGTTCACTGTTTACCTAAGCAGTTCGAAACAGCTTACAGCTGCAACCACCAATTCAAAGAGCCACAGCTTGAATATATCTATATCTATATATTGAAAAAGCAAGCCTCGATTTTTATATAAAGAATACCATTTTACTCTGCCATGGGACTTGAGCATCCTTGGATTTTGATATCCCTGCGGATCCTAGTATCAAACCCCAGTGGATACCAAAGGTTTACTATCTGTGCAGAAAACCAGCCACAAATGTAACTGTATTGTTCCATCCCCATCCTTCCCACATGCTTAGGTCCCTACTTTGACTGCTATCTGTGGTTGCACAGTGTTAAGAAAACTCTTACAGGAAATAGTGAACAGATTCTAGTACAACAACAAGCAGCAGCACCACTGAAATCCTGGCAACGTGCACCGGTTTGCGGTCGGAAAAGATAAACAGAAGCTCTGGGATTTGTTTTCTTTGATTCACATCTAGCCGCTTTCATTTCCTTGCTTTGTTTCTCTCTCCCACAAAATTGCAGTGGGAAGTATGGATTCCCACTCCCATCACTCTTTGATTTCACAGAGCCATGCAGTCCAACCCATTCTGCCATGCTGGAACACACAATCAAAGCCCTCCTGACAGATGACCATTTTGCCTGTGCTTAGGAACCTCTAAAGAAGGAGACTCCACCATACTCCAAGGCAGCATATTTCTGTGCTGAACAACTGTCAGGAAGTTCTTCCTAATCTTTTTTTTCCCTGCAGTTTGATTTGTTGAGCAAAAAAATGGAAATCGGAGAAGGGAAAGTGCCCACCTTCATCAAAGAGACATACTGAAACACAGAATGCTATATGGTTTGCTTAGTGCCTTGCACTTCCCTGTAGGAATGATCAAATAGTATTTGCCCACCTGCAGCTTGTCAAGGCAAGTTTGTCACCATTTTCTTCCTCATTGTGCTGTCTATGTATACAAGATGCCATTTAAATATATATATGAAGAAAATATGGGCTATTATTTGAGAACAAACAAATGCTGGACCACTCTAACAGCCACCATGTCAGACTACACAGAGAGGCCACTGAAATTCACAAGCACGTGGACAATTTCAACAGAAAGGAAGAAACCATGAAAATGAAGAAAATCTGACTACCAGTATTTTAAAAAAAACCCTCTAAAATCAGATCAGGACAATAAATGAAAAACAATACTCAGAAAACTGGGGAATTCCAAACAGAAAACAATCAGGGTCGGCTAACACCTCCCAACAAAGGATTCCCCCCAGGCAGCAACCAGTCAGGCTTTGAATCTGCAATGTTATTCAATGCTAATCAAGCTGGCCAATTTCAGCACTCACACTTGCCTCAAGCAGAGAATAATTATTTCTCCCACCCTGGACATCCCACAGATATATAAACCCCACTTGCCTAGTTTCCAACAGACTTCACAACCTCTATGGATGCCTGCCATAGATGTGGGCAACAGGTTTATTACTTATATACACAATATAAAGGTAGATTGTGTATATAAGTAATAAACCTGTCGTACGATAACACATCTGTTGTTTCAAAAATAACAATAACATAATACTTTGTATATCTTATTTATAGATATCTGTGTTCCAAATATATATAAATGTGGGCAAAACATCAGGAGAGAATGCTTCTGGAACATGGTCATACAGCCCGGAAAACCCACAGCAACCCAGTGATGCCGGCCATGAAAGCCTTAGACAACATAATCTGCCTAACATTACTGAAAAAGCCATATTCTTTCTATTTTGAACTCATTTGTCCACATTAGCCTTCCTATCTTGCACCCATCATCTCTAAACTGTGGGTGCATCTACACTATATAAATGAGCAGTTTGGCACCACTTTAAGTGCCAGGGCTCAATGCCATGGAATCCTTGAAATTGTAGTTTGGTGAGGCACCAGCACCCTTCGGCAAAAAAAAAAGGCTTGTAAACCTACAATTCCCATGAGTCTGTAGCATTGAGCCATCAGTGGTATCAAAGTGCAATGTGCATGCACTCTAAATCAGCCAATATAATCACTTGAAAGATAATGCCATATAACATTTGTGTCATTGCTTTTCTTTGGGCTACATATCTATTTGACACAGCTTTCTTTTAACGATTAGTGGATAAGTACCTTCAAGTTGTTTTTGACTTATGACCACCAAGGTCCAGTGTGGGAAAAAGAACTCTTGCCTGTTGGGAGGCAATTGTGAATGTTGCAATTAAGCACCTTGATTAACATTGCAAAGCCTTGCAGCTTCAAGGCTTGGCTGATTCCTGCCAGGCGGATTCCTTTGTTTTTTTCCCCCCTGGCAGGAATCGGGGGGGGGGGGGGGGGGGGGGGGGGGGAAGGGTAGAAACACCTCCCAACATAGGATTCCCCTAGGAAGGACTCGGCCAGGCCTTGAAGCTACAAGGCTATTCAATACTAATCAAGGTGGACAATTACAACAGCCAGACTTGCCTCCAACAGACAAGAGTTCTTTTTCCCACCCTGAACCTTCCACAGCTATATAAACCTCCCTTGCTTAGTTTCCAATATACCTCAAAACCTCTGAGGATACCATAGATGTGGGCAAAACTTCAGGAGATAATGCTTCTGGAACATGGCCATACAGTCTGGAAATCTCACAGCAACCCCAAAGCAATTCTACTGTAAACACTACTACATTCGACTTCATTTAGGTTATGAAGTCAATGAACATAGCTCTCCATGGGAACATCTACACTTTAGATTTAATGCAGTTTGGCACCACTTTAAATTCCAGTGTTATAGAACCCCGGGAGTTGCAGTTTGGTGAGGCACCCACATTCTTTGGCAGAGTAGGCTATCACTAGAGCTGAAAGGGGAGGCAAAGACAATGCATCCCATCTGAAATCTTGTGGCTGCCACCTCCTGCAGAATTCTGGTACTTATAGTTTAGTGAGGACCAGAACTTCTCTGTCTGAGCATTTTAAAGCCTCCCCAAGGGCCTCCTTCTCTTTCAGCTTTAGTATCATAAGGCATGAAAACAACACATCTCAGTATTCCAAAACATTGCGGCTGCATCTACACTGCCATATAATGAAGCCTGAATGCCGTTATAGGATCAGTGTAGACCAGGCATGAGTAAACTTGGGCCCTCCGGGTGTTTTGGATTTCAACTCCCACCATTCCTACCAGCCTACCAGCTGAGAAGTCAGCCATAGCAGAGCACCTGATGAACCAACCTGAACACAGCATATTATCTGAGAACACAGAAGGGCTGGACCACACTAACAACCACCATGGCAGGCTACACAGAAAAGCCATTGAAATCCACAAACACGTGGACAACTTCAACAGAAAGGAGGAAATCATGAAAATGAACACAATCTGGCTATCAGTATTTTTTTTTTTAAAAAAAACAACTCTAAAATCATAAACAACACTCAAAACAGGAGAATTCCAGACAAGAATCAATCAGGGCCAGTTGACACCTCCCAACAAAGGATTCTCCCAGGCAGCAACCAGCCAGACTTTGAAGCTGCAAGGCTAATCAAGCTGGCCAATTGCAACATTCACACTTGCCTCGACCAGACAAGAGTTCTCTCTCCCACCCTAGACATTCCACAGATATATAAACCCCACTTTCCTAGTTTCCAACAGACCCCTCAACCTGTGAGGATGCCTGCCATGGATGTGGGCGAAACGTCAAGAGAGAATGCTACCAGAACATGGCCCCACAGCCCGGAAAACTCACAGCAATCCTGTTAGGAATGGCAAGAGTTGAAGTCCAAAACACCTGGAGGGACGAAGTGTGCCCATGCCTGGTGTAGACTATATACTGTAGTGTGAACTTACATTATATGGCAGTGCAGATCCAGCCTGAATCGTGTTAAAGTGCACTACAATTTCGATGGGCGGGGTTTCAATCTGAAAAGGGCATCAATCATAGTGTCCCGGGAGTCCAGCCTTAACGCCTTAAATCAGTTACTGGGGACGGAGGGAGGAGATCACTCTTTGCATGCTCAGAAACCCTCCCGCTGGCTCCCTGGATCCCTGCCCATTCCTCCTTGTTTTTGGCGTCGCCGGAGAGGAGTGCCGGGGCGAGAGCGCCGCCTTGGCAGTCCAGAGAAGCGGGAGATTTGTGTGCCGGTCGGAAGCAGGTGAGCGAAGGGAAAGATTGCCCAAAGGCGCATGCTTACGGGGGAGATTTCCGTGGCAAGCGACTGCTCTGCAGGGCAGGAGGGGGTGCTCCGACGGGGCGAAGAAGGCACGTCTTCTGGGCGCCCACTCCACGAGCCCTCTTTGCCTGGAGTCCCAAACAAGACTGATTTCCCTTCTGCATGGAACAGAAAAAAAATCCCTCTTGTTTACTCCAAGGAAAGTTTCCGAGTTCAGAATTGGGGCGGAAGGAGAGGGAGGGAGATGCTGGGCCAGAATGTTGTCATTGCATGACTCTGGGAGTCAACATCTCCAGGGGCTGCAGCTGCACCGTGGAATTCAGTCAGCTGGACAGCTTGGACTGGGAGTTCTAGTTTCATAAGAGCTTTAGTCTTCCCTGCCAAAGAGTCCCAGGATTGCATAGCATTGAATCATTGTCGTTAAAGTGCTCTCTAATTACATTAATTCAATAGTTTTTTGGGTTTTCTTTTTAATGTCTGAAGCAGCTTGGGAAACTGCAAGTCACTTCTGGTGTGAGAGAATTGGCTATCTGCAAGGACGTTGCCCAGGTGATGCCCAGATGTTTTACCATCCTGTGGGAGGCTTCTTGCATGTCCCCACATGAGAAGCTGGAGCTGACAGATGGGAACTCACTCCACTCAGGGGTGACTTGAGAAACTGCAAGTTGTTTCTGGTGTGAGAGAAATGGCTGTCTGCAAGGATGTTGCCCAGGTGACGCACGGATGTTTTACCATCCTGTGGGAGGCTTCTTGCATGTCCCCGCATGAGAAGCTGGAGCTGACAGATGGGAGCTCACTCCACTCAGGGGCAACTTGAGAACCTGCAAGTTGCTTCTGGTGTAAGTGAATTGGCAGTCTGCAAGGACATTGCCCAAGGGATGCCCGGATGTTTTGATGTTTTACCATCCTTGTGGGAGGCTTCTCTCATGCCCCCACATGGGGAGCTGCAGCTGACAGAGGGAGCTCACCCGTGCTCTTCCCAGTCTGCTGGCACAAGGGTTTAACCCACTGTGCCACAGGAGCTCCATAATAATCATAATAATATCTTTATTTATATTCCGCCCTATCTCCTCGAGTGGACTCAGGGTGGATTCCAACAAACAAAAAAGGCAAACATTCACTGCCTCAGTACAATAACTAATGTAGACATAATATCCCAAAATAAACTCACATGTGAAAATAACATATAACATGAGATGTATAGATTAAATAAAACATGCCTATCTAAATAATTATATCTAACATAAAACCTAAATATACAACCTCAAACATCCACATTAATTTACAGGACGGTGATGTTAACTGGGTTAACATGGTCTAACGAAGCCTGAATACAATAATAGTTTTCCATCCGAGGTCTGGTAGCAGCCTCTCATCATCTAAAGTAAGTTTTCAGTTGTTATTTGAAGGAGATAAGGGAAAGGGGCATCTTTGTTTCTTTAGGGAGGGAGTTCCAGAGGTGAGAGGCGTCCTACCAGCCATGCTTGAGATGGGGTGGGACAGAGAGCAGGGCCTCCTCTGCTGATCACAGCGCCTGAGTTGGTTTATAGGAGGAGATGTGATTAGACTAATAATAATAAACTTTATATCCTGCCACCATCTCCCTGAAGAGACTCGGGGTGGCTTACAAGGCACTCCAAGATTCACGTGTAACATACAACAGGTAAAAAAAGTACAAAAGTATAAAACACATCACATAAAATTATAACAACAACCTCCATCAACACATGTAACATAATATCACAACAGTACAATTTTAAAACAACAGTAGATAAAGCTAACGTCAATTCACAAGGTGCCAAGTGTCAGCTTCATATGGGCCTGTTCAACTTACTCAAGGTCAAAGGCCTGTCTGAACATCCATGTTTTCAGTTTGGAATGGAAGGATTGGAGGGTGGGGGCTAATCTAATCTCTTTTGGGAGGGTATTCCAGAGCCAGGGAGCCACCACAGAAAAGGCTCTCTCTCTCGTCCCCACCAACTGCACTGGTGGTGGGACTGAGAGAAGGGCCTCTGCTGTCAATCACAGAGCCCGTGCCAGTTCGTAGAAAGAGATGCACTCTCGAAGACAGGTTGGACCTGAAGTGTATAGGGATTTATGGGTAATAGCGTGCACCTTGAATTGAGCCCGGAAACTTGTCAGAAGCCAGTAGAGCTGCTTCAGCAGGGGCATTGTATGCTCCCTGTAGCTAACTCCAGTTAGTAATCTGGCAGCTGATCATTGCATTAGCTGCAGTTTACGAACCATCTTCAAAGGCAGCCCCTTGTAGAGTGCATTACAGTAGTCCATTCTGGATGTAACTAAGGCATGGACGACTGTGACCAAGTCAGGCTTATCAAGGTATGGTCGCAGCTGACGCACAAGTTTTAACTGGACCCGAGCCATGAAGGCACACGAAAAATAACAACCAGTTGATCCCTTTCTACCTTCTGCTCATTCATGGCCTCAGAAAGGTATATATAGTGCATATTTATAGCATTGTGGTAAGGTTTTAACTGTTTGGCTCCATATGGAATCTGGGATTTTTAGCTTGTTGAGGTGCTTGAAATGGTTTGCTAAAGAGTTGGCTTCCAGTTCAGTGGAGTAGACTACAACAGCTCTTTCCAGACTGTTGAGATGTGTAGAGAATGGGCATCCCTTAAGTACCAGTTGCGCCTATCACCTATATCAGTTTTTTCCTTCCCAGGAAATTTCCCATGGGCTGGCAATTCATGTCCTGGAGATCAGTTTGGATCCATGGATCACCACTTTGAGTGGAAGTTCTTCCCAATGGCCAACAAAGCTACAAGTCCTTGGATTTCGTGGGATGGTGTTGTGGCTAATAAGATGAGATCAAACTGCTGTACATTTTCTTTAAAAAAGAATACTTATATATTGGAATAATCTTTGTACATGTTGAATGCAAAGTATTCAGTATGGAAGAACAAACAACTGAGGACCCATCTACACTAATCACATAATGCAGTTTCATAATACAGTCTAACTGCATTGGAGTGCAATGCAATAGTTCAAAGCAGTTAGACTACATTATGAAACTGCATTATATGGCAGTGTTGATGGGGCCTGAAATAAATTGTTTACTTAATTCTAGTTCCTGGAAGTGCCTGTGAATCAAAAAGTCAAATCTTTGTGTGTTGTTTTTTAAAGGACCCTCTTTCCAACTATTTAGATTCTAGGTTTTAACAGGACATGTGTAATAGTGGCAAATAAGGGGAAAATATTTTGTGGATTTCCTAAGTGAACAGGAAAATACTTCATACTGAACTTTGTCCTTAACTGAACTTTGCTCCTGAGCTGAACTTTGCAAGTTGCTAGGAAAACACAGTAAACGGCAAATGCATTGATTTTTTTTTTAAAAAAATTGCCTTCTCACCTATAGCCCCCAAAAGGAACTTTTCAAATGTTTGGAAAAGGTACAACAGTTGCACAATGTATTTTAATTTGTAGCTAGGAATGTTCTATCTGGAATCGCCATCATCTTGGGAAGGACTTTGGGTGGGGAACATATTTTCTCTGAAGACAAGGAACATGACATTTGTTCTTTATGGAACTAATCTTTAGATGGCAGCATATGATTAAACTCTCTCCACTCATTCTTATATGGACATCGGTAATGAAAATCAGAAGTTTAGCTCTTTTAATGGAACATACATTATTAATTTTGTTTGTACTTGTTTTTGATCTTGAGAACTGTCTTCACTGCCAATTCTGGGTAAAGTCAGAAAGCCAAATCTATAAATAAATTATGACCAATGCAGAAAGTATCATTATAAAAATTGCAAAATATGTTACTAGGACATATCTCTCTCCCATGCATAATAGCTATAAGAATAAAACAAGATTATGGAAAAATTATTTTTTTATACTTGAGAATCCCTAGCTATCAGGCGCATTTTGGTGAGGATTCTGGAAAGTATAATCCAAACAAATTACTTTTCCAAAATGGCTAGCATGATTTGAACTCGAGACTAGTATTCAAATCCCCGCTCAGTCATGAAAACCCACTGGATAGCTTCAAGTAAATCACAGTCTCTTTATCTCAGAGGAAGGCAAACCCGCTCTGAACAAATCTTGCCAGAAAAAACATAATGATAGGTTCACTTTAGGTTACCACAATTCAGAAGTGACTTAAAGCACACAAACAAGTACATTTTCCAAGTTCTGAGCACAGTGCTTCTCTTAAAAGTTGTAGCTGTTCCCTGCCCTTTAGGGGAGGGCTTTTGTGCTGCTAGAGAAATGGAACGGGGTCAGTTAAAGGCATGTTTATACTTTTAAATGTCTTGTACAAAGCATTATCTAGAGTTTCTGTTCTTGAAAATAGTTCTAAATTCACTGCACACATTTTCACCACTCATTCCAGGGGAGGGAAGCCAAAATGTGTGCCAGGAATCCTTCATCTGGAGACAGAGAGGTTTGCAGTAAACAAACCCAGCTCTAGGGGTACAAGCAGGGGGACTAGAGCTCTCTTTCAAGCAGACTTCTTGCATATGCTGCTTATGTCAATAATACTGTGTCTTAGTTCAAGACAAGCTCCAAAATACAGATGTTTATCAGGAGAAAACAAAATAGTTACACAACCCGCTTTCATGGGGATTTGCCTTAGAATGTATTTGCCCCTTAGAGTGGGTTAAACCGCTGAGCTGTTGAACTTGCTGACTGCTGTTAGCCCAGATCTTGCCAACCTAGCAATTTGAAAACATGCAAATGTGAGTAGATCAATAGGTACCACTTTTGCGGCACTCCATGCAATCATGCCAGCCACATGACTTTGGAGGTGTCTATGGACAATGCCGACTCTTCGGCTTAAGAAATGGAGATGAGCACCAACCCCAAGAGTTGGACACGACTAGACTTAATGTCAAGGAGAAACCTTTACTTCTATCTTTTTATGGCCTCATCTATAATTCCACATAATCCAGATTTTCAAAACAGACAATCCACATTATCTGCTTTGAACTGTATTATATGAGTCTACATTGCAGATAATCTGGATTTTATATGGCAGTGTAGATAGATGGGGCCTATGTTTTCCAGGCGTTCCATTTCTTGCTCTATTTGTGTAATAGCCAGCTTCTGTTTTGCCTGCATGTTTTGCCTTTCCCCCTGATAAGGATAATAGTGCAGTAACAAGTTTTGCAGAGATAAATATTTTAATCAGACATCAAATTTCCCGGAAGTCTTGTTCAACAAATGCTAGGTTTCCACAGCTGTCAACAAAAGTTGGCCATCACTTGATGCCGCTTTGATTAGCTCACTGACTAAATATGAAATAGAAACACCATCAGATGGAGCCATAAGACACACCTGTGCTGACAAAAAGGTTTTTTTCAACATTTTAGCTGTATTAATGTATTTTAGCTTTTGAATTGAAAAAAAAACACATAATATAAGAGTCATACATCAGTTTCTTTGCATATTTGACTTTTTTTAAAATCATTTCAGGTGTTACTCAGTTTCAGTGCAACTTCATTTAGTGCTTTTGATCGGCTCATTGTCTTTCATGTCAATCAGTTAAAGTGTTTTGGAAATCTGTTAGAATATTTTAATCCCTATCATCTTGCTTACTCTTTACTCCACAAAAAATAGTCATATATTACACAATTAAAAACTCAAAGCAAGTTGTGGGAAATAACAGTATGTGGTGAAGCAAATCTGAGATCATTCTTGGATTTAAAATGCCAATGCCATATAGCTTTTTATTAAATGTTTTTATGACCTTTAGTTTTGCAATCAATTATAATTGGTTGCAAGATATGTTGAAAGAATTGTCATCTGTGGCTGTACTTCAAAATGGGAAGGTGGTATCAAGTTCTGTCCTATGGCCAACAGTCTTCAACATTTGTATCAGTGATTTAGGTGGGATAGACTGACTCTTTATCAAATGTGCAGCTGATATAAAACTGAAAGGGTAGCTAATACATAGAAAGATAGAGAAAAATTAAAAAATAGCCACGATTTATCTGAAACTGGGCTGAAATTAATACATTTCAACAGGAAAAAATGCAAAATTATACATGTAAAAAGAATTTTTGAATTATTGTTAATGATAAAATGCATATGAGCCAGAAGTGTAATGGTACAGCAAAGAAGACCAATAATATCATAGCGTGCATCAATAGCTTCCAAATTGAGGGAAGTAATGGTCTCCCTATATTCTGTGCTGGTCAAGCTTTGTTTAGGGCTGAGTTCTGGGCATCTCATTTTAACAAGGATTTAGACTGGTCAGAGTCACTCTTGGGCATCTACATGACATTCATGGACTTTTGGCCCATAATGTGTGATAAAACCCATCCAATTTTACTCTGTATTAGTAGAAGGTCAAGAATGTTTCAGAGTCTCCCAAAACTCCCAAGCAACCAAGAACAGCAGGACTGGTTCTCATTTGCTATTCCCCCCCCCCCCACTTTTCCCTCACCTCAGGTTGTGTGGTTGCCTTTGATGATATCAAGATGTTGAAATGAATAATTTCCTTTTCTCTTGCACATTCTCTTGCAGATCCTTTTTGAAAATGTTTTTTTCCACTGAAGTTTCTTTTTCAGAGGTCACCATCACCCTTTTTGTGGTGGCAGCTATTTTTATTTCTATACATATGTTAATGAAGACCAAGCGGCCCCAACCACCAGGACCTTGGTCGTTACCAATTCTGGGGAATCTTCTCCAGGTTGAGGAGCATCCATACATTTCCTTTCAACGCATGAGGAAGAAATACGGAGACGTGTTTCAGATAAAGCTCGGAATGGTCCCTGTTGTGGTGGTTAATGGTCTGGAGGCAGTAAAACAGGTGCTTTTGAGAGATGGGGAGAGTTTTGCTGGTCGACCGGATATGCACACTTTTTCATTTTTCGCCGATGGAGATAGCATGTCATTTTCAGTCCACTATGGGGAAAGTTGGAAACTTCAGAAGAAAATTGCTGGAAGAGCTTTGAGATTGCTTTCCAAATCTGAAGCCAAGTCTTCAACGTGCTCTTGCCTCCTTGAAGAGCATGTGTGCGATGAAGCTTCAGAACTGGTGAAAACGTTGCTGGAGCTCTCAAAGAATGGTGGCTTTGATCCTGCGGCTGTGACTACCTGTACGGCAGCGAATGTTGTTTGTGCCCTTTGCTTTGGCAAGAGGTACAATCATAATGACAAAGAATTTCTGGGTGTGATTAAGTTAAATGATGATTTTGTAAAAGCTTCAAGTGCTTTCAATCCTGCTGATTTTATACCCTGCCTACGTTACCTTCCACTGCCGGCTGCAAAAGTTGCTCGTACATTTTATAGAAAATTAAATGACTTTGTTTCGGCATGCGTAGAACACCATTGTACCACATATGATAAGGTAAGTTTTAACAGCACAAAGAAAACCTATTCAGATAATAGGGTATCCATGCTACCACTGGGAGTTTACAAATTCAACAGATATGTAGATGAGCAATAAATAGAATACTTGTTCAGGGAAATTCATATTTTTCAAGTCTGGATTTTCTCTTTGGAAAGTGGCCTACATGTGCTCAGACTGTTTTAGATATATAGTTGACCCTCAACATTTGCACAGTTGACTTTTGTGGATTTGATTGTGGATTTGATTAAAATATTGTATAATATCTAGAAGTTGACCATAGAATCATACCAGCATAGTGACTGGTGAAAAAGAAGTTTGCAAATTGAAGTAGTGTTTACTAGGCACATGCTAATCAGGCATCAGGTTTGTGGTTTTATTTATTTAGGGCTTTTTTCCCTTCCTTTAGAACTATGTCCGAGACATCACTGATGCTCTGATTACTGTTGGCAATGAGAAAAAAGAGGATGCCAAAACTGCTTTGTCAGATAAGAAAATAATAAATACTGTCAATGACATCTTTGGAGCGGGTGTGTATTTAACATTTTATCAATTAAATGCATGCCTTAAATAACCATTTCAGTAGATGCTTAAATGACAATTGCCAGTTGTAGAACTTTGGTAGAGATGGCTGCAGAACTGACTCAAAATGGGTGACAATTAAAACAAGCAGAATAGATTCCATGATGAACTAAATTTCATGTTTTATTTATTTTGGCAGGTTTCAGTACCATAACGGCATGTTTGCAATGGATATATCTGTACTTGATAAGCAAACCAGAATTTCAAACTAAGATTCAGGAAGAAATTGGTAACACTATTCCGTTTTTTAAAAAAATGAAACAACATTGACACTGTCATTAGTAAAAGACATGGCTTGAAATGTTTCTGTTTCTTTGCAGATGAAAAAATTGGACTAAGACCACCAAGGTTTGATGATCGAAAAATTCTGCATTATACAGAAGCTTTCATCAATGAAATTTTCAGGCACTGTTCCTTCTTGCCATTCACCATTCCTCACTGGTGAGATGCTAAGGAGTGGTTTTGATTTCATTGCTATCACGTTCTGCTAATACTACACTTCTGGCAGAAGTAATTCATTTCAGTAGGATTCCTTTATATCCATGGTCTCCTGTTAACACTGTAGATCCAGGAAGATATCCCTCTTTGATATGTAGCTCATACTGATTTCTTAGGGTGCTTCCACACAGTACCTATACTTTGAAAGAGAATGGGTTAAAAAGGCAGATGGCCAGATGACGTTTGTGTTAAATGCGCACTCAATAGTAGCAATGGAGGAAAACCTCAATTCAAAAAGGTCCTCCTTTATCCTGTGTGTCCCTGCAGTCATATAAAGTTTGGGATTTACCCCTTGTGGAAACTGCTTCCCGTACGTGCCGCCACTGCGACTCCGGTTGAACATCTGCTCCATTAAACCTGTGTTTTAATTGTTTTACAATTTGCTACATTATATTTATTATTTGTTGGATAATGTGGCATTGAATTTTGTCATAATCTGCTCTTCTCTAAGTCCCCTTCGGGTTGAGAAAAGCAGGGTATAAATATAGTAAATAAATAAATGTGCACATAGGAATCTCTCCATGTTTATATCAGGATATTTGCATGTGCACATATAAACATCAGAGCATAATTGAGTGATTATAACAAAACTTCCAGATGACGTGCCTCATCCTCCCTCAATTTTATCCTGAGACACAGAAGGGCCGTGAGGATAGCAGGGGAAGAAAGCCAGGGACCGGCGAATCTGTGTGGGGACCTGCTCTGAGGTTTATTTATACCGCATTTTAATCCCACATTTTAGTGCTGTCTGGAAGCACCCTTAGAGTGATGGCGGGAAATTACAATCTTCATTACAATCACTTTTTTTTGTACAAATGTTACTGTAGCTGTTTTAGCAGGAAGTGAATCTTAAAGTGGATTAGTGATGAAATCTCTTTCTGAGAGTTTTAGGCCCATTCTGCATTGTCCTTATATCCAGGATCTGATCCCAAGTTATCTGCTTTGAACTGGATTATATGAGTTTCTACTGCCATATAATCTGCCATAAGCAGATAATCTGGGATCAGATCCTGGGATATAAGGACAGTATAGAAGGGGCCTTAATAAATAGTAATAGTAATAGTAATAATAATAATAATACCAACAACAACTTTTTAGTTATACCCCGCCACCATCTCCCCAAGGGCACTCGGGGCAGCTAAAATGAGGCCAAGCCCAACAATTACAACAAGGCAAAAAGAATACAAACAATCATACATCAAATAAAGTACAATAAAATATAACAAAAGAAAATAATGCAAGTTAAACTCAGTATATAATGGTAGGTTACATACCTGTGACCATCTTTCTTCAAGTGGTGCTCTACGAATTCACACTTGTGGAGAGACTGCGCCTGCGCGGGCTCCAACGGAAACTTCTACAGTTTAAACTTTTCAAGTTTTGGCGGTAACCCTGCCCAGCCCCGGCAGGGGATAAAAGGGCGCCCCGCGCATACCGACACAATTCCTACGCCGCTACGGCAGCGAGAAATTGGAGGTTTGACTGAGGGGAGGCTGGGCGGGTTAGTGTGAATTCGCAGAGCACCACTCGAAGAAAGATGGTCACAGGTATGTAACCTACCATTTTTCTTCGTGGTCTCTGCGAATGCACACTTGTGGAGACTAGCAAGCTCAGGTCCCGGAGGCGGGAAGAAGGCAAACCGACCAATAAAGTCAAGGGCCAAACAATTTTATTAAGTGCAAACAGTTACTGAACAAGAGATTGTCATTTCTTCCTAAGAAGGACACAGTGCATAAACTTATGGGAGTACGTGATCCTCCCGGCCACGTGAGGATGGCCAATTCACAGTGAAAGACACTCAACAAGTGAGGGCATTCTTGAACAATTACATAACTTTTGACCCTTGGTAAACAAAAAACATACTCATTGTGGAAAACACTCATTGCAATGAGGGTACTTTAAGTAGTTACAAAAACACTTTTGTCAATAGGTGCAAAAAACACATTTGCAAGGCAAAATGGTCGATAGCGAAACAAAGCACTACCCGTAATGAGCCCCACGAGGCTAGAGTGCAAGGTTGCCTGTGCCTCAGGCAAGAAAGGCATCAAGTATAACAGGTGCAATTACATTCACCATCATCAGTAAACAGCTCTATTCGAGCAAACACATGGTAATAACATTCACAACAATATACGGTACCAAAGAGGTTCACGGTACCGACGCAACAAAAGGCTTGTGCAGAATTCTAAGGCGGACACGACTCCAGAATTGCCCTCCCAAAGGCCATGTCAGGTGTATACCTGGTATTCAGTCTGTAATGTGAAACAAATGTCTGAGGATTTTTCCAAATGGCCGCCTTACAAATAGCGTCCAGAGGAATCCCCTTAAGGAAGGCTGTCGATGCCGCCATCGCCCTGGTTGACCGAGCCCGGACAACCGAGGGAGGTTGTTGTCGAGCCAGCTGGTAACAAAGCTCGATAGTCGAGGGGATCCAGTGCGACAAATGCTGCGCCGTAATTGGCAAGCCCACCTTACCATGGGCATATGCAATAAACAGTCGTTGAGTTCTCTGGGACTGAGCAGTTCTGTCCCTGTAACATAGCAATGCTCTCCGCACATCGAGCATATGGAGTCTTTTCTCCATCGGGGTCGAGGGAGATTGAAAAAACGAGGGAAGGACAATGTCTTCATTAACATGGAAAGGGGATACAACTTTAGGGAGGAATGTCACATCTGTGCGGAGAACTGCCCTTTCCTCATGGACAACAAAGTACGGTTCGTCCACTCGCAGTGCCGCAAGTTCCGACGGCCTATGGGCCGAGGTGATCACGACCAGAAAGGCCACCTTCCATGAAAGAAGTCGGAGGTCGATCGACGCCAAAGGTTCGAAGGGCGCTTGTGCGAGCCGGGCCAGCACGAGGTCGAGGTCCCAACCGGGAGTTGGAGAGCGGACTGGGGGATGCAGGTTGTTGAATCCCCGCAGGAAAGACTTCACGGAGTTATCCTTGAACAAGGAGGCTTCCCCTCTTCGTTGAAGCTGCCAAGAGATGGCCGCTAAGTGAGACTTGAGCGATGATAGCGACAAGCCCCATTCGGTAAGGTGCAGTAAGAACAAGAGAATTGACGGTACCGAAGGCCGATGATCGTCTAGCCCTTTTTCGGAGAGGAAGGCCTGGAAGCGGTTGAGGCACGCCGAATAGCATTTCTTAGTTGCTGGCTTATGAGCTGCGGCCAGGATCGGAAGAACTCCTGGACAGAGAGACCTCAGAACTGGATCCTCCACGCCGAAAGATGAAGAGAAGCGAGGTCGGGGTGGAGCAGCTGACCCCCTTCCCGGGAGAGTAGGTCCTGCCGAAGTGGAAGGCGTCTCATCCGTCCCTCGGACAACTGGAGGAGGACTGAGAACCACGGTTGTCGTGGCCATTCCGGCGCTATCAGGATGCAGTTCGTTTGCGCCGATTGGATCCTCTCGATCACCCTCGGGATGAGCGGGAAGGGCGGGAAGAGGTAGAGCAGATGTCTCGACCAATCTAGGAGGAATGCGTCTCCGAGACACCCTGGTACCGTGCTCGGAGCAAGCCGAGCACCGAACTGCGGGAGCTGAGCGTTTTGCGGCGATGCGAAGAGGTCTGCCGCCGGAAGGCCCCAATCTCTGAAGATCTTGGCCAGCTCGTCGGGGTTCAACCTCCACTCGTGTGAGGTCGACTTGGTTCTGCTGAGTGCGTCCGCCTCGACATTGGACTTCGCCCGGGAGGTGTAAGGCTGTTATCGACACCGACCTGGTTACACACCAGTCCCAAAGTTCCAATGACAGCTTGAGAAGTTTTCTCGAGCCCGTTCCTCCCTGCTTGTTCACATAGAACATTGCCACCATGTTGTCCGTGAGGATCTGGACTTCCCCGTGACCAGGAGGACAAATGCTCTTAGGGCTTTGAAGATTGCCAGCAATTCCAAGTAATTTATGTGGCATTGTCTTTCCTGCAGAGACCAGAGATCGTGTACCGAGAGGTCTCCTGTATGGCATCCCCATGCGAACATCGAGGCGTCTGTCGTGATCGTGACGGCTGGAGGCTCTGGGTGAAAGGGAATGCCCTTGCAGACATGCTGGCGGTTCATCCACCAGTTTAGTGAGTCCTTCACCGACCTCGGGACTAGCAGACGTTTTGCGGCACTGTCCCGCATGGGATTGAAGTGGTCTAAGAACCATCTCTGGAGGGGACGGAAGCGGAGCCTCGCCAACGGTGTCACCATCACCGTGGAGGCCATGTGCCCGAGGAGGACCTGTATCTGCTTCGCTGGAACTACTCGGGATCGACGAACTTTGAGCGCCTCGGCACGAAGAGCCCTGAATCTCTCCTCCGGGAGGAACACCGACTGGGAGAGAGAATCGAACATGGCGCCTTTATGCAAGTGGTGGGTTCCAGATGAGATTTCTCCTCGTTCAGCTGGAGGCCCAGGTTTTCGAGGAGAGAGAGTGTCCTTGCCACCTGGATCCGCAGGAGGTCTGGGGAACGTGCCGCCAACAACCAATCGTCTAGGTATGGGAAAATGCGGATTTTTTCCCTTCTGAGGGCTGCTGCGACCACCGACATGCATTTGGTGAAGGTCCTCGGTGCCGTCACGAGACCGAAGGGAAGGACATTGAAATTGCATGACTGTCCCGCTACCCTGAAGGCCAGGAAGCGTCTGTGGTGTTTTCTGACTGAGAGATGGAAATAAGCGTCCCGGAGATCGACGGACGCGAAGAAGTCTCCGTATCTGAGGAGAGGGAGTATGGACGATACCGTCACCATCCGGAACTTTTGGGGTTCGATGAAGGAGTTTAAGTCTCTGAGATTGAGGATTGGGCGGAGGGAGCCATCCGGCTTTGGGACAGTAAAGTATCTGGAGAAGAAGGCTCAATGGTTTTGAGAGTCCGGTAGGGGGGAAATGGCCCCTTTCAGAAGCAAGGTCTCGACTTCTGTCAGAATTGCCGAAGATGGTTCGGTATCGACAATATGCCCCGTTGGTGGGAGCTCTTCGAACTCCAATGCATAGCCTTCGTCGACAATCTTTAAAACCCATGCATCTGAGGTGATATTTTCCCATGCAGGGAGAAAGTTCGTCAGGCGATCCCCGAACGGTGTCGAGCCGGATGGAAGGATGAGGGCGGGTACCATTGGGAGGGACATGGGAACAACATCGGTAACGGAACTGCAAACGGTATCGCCCATTGGGGCGTCAAATGCGGCGCCTGGCCTGGTTGCCTCCTGAATCTTGGCGGGATCGTGAGCGCTGTGGTGCTGCCTACGCTGCTGTTGAGGCTGTTGAGGGTGGGTTTGTTGGGAAGCATGCAGAGGACGGGCTGGCTGGCGGTATTGGATCGTGCGGTACGGGACCGTGTGCCGACGCTTGTACTGGAACCATCTAGTTCTCTGTGCCTGGTTCTGATTCTCGAACCCGCACTTAGAAGCCAAAGTCTTGAAGTCGTGATTTGACTTCAGCTTGTCGTCCGTCCCGGCATTAAAGAGTCCCAAGGTGTCAAAGGGGAGGTCTTCGATGACCTGCCTTGATGATGTTGAGAGGCCAGAGGACCGGAGCCAGGCATGCCTCCTAATTGCCACGGCGTGGGCGATCATCTTGCCAGCAGTGTCTCCTGTGTGTTTGGCCATCTGCATTTGGTGATGTGCCAGGGAATTCGCCTCCTGAGCCAGGGTGGAGAGGCTGGAACGGTCTTCCTCAGACATCCTCTGGAAAAACGGTGCCGCTTTCTCCCAGAGTATCTGCTGGTATGCACCCATACAAGCGCCATAGTTGGCCATGCGGGCTAACAAGAGGGCGCCAGAGTAGAGCTTTCTGCCCACCGCATCGAACCTCTTCCCCTCTCGATCGGACGGCATTGACGATTGCCTCCCAAACGCCTGAGCCGCTTTAACCACCACCGAGTTGGGATCGGGGTGATGTTTGAGCCACTCCAAACCCTCATCGTCCGTTCTGTACCATGATTCTATCTTTTTGGATGTTGGAGGGATGGAGGAAGGGGTTTTCCAGGAACCCTGGATGACCTCGAGGAGATAGGGAAGGAAGGGTAGAAGAGGAGCAGGTGGAGATTCTGATTGCACCCTCTTAAACACCGGGTCCTGCACTGCTTTGGAAGTCTGCTTGACCTCCAAGCCTAGGGCATCAGCCATGCGAGCCATTTGATCCGCAAAGGCTCGGACATTGTCCGTGGGAGATGGTGGATCAACTTCATATGCGTCGTGAGTGGGTGATCTCTCGATCCCGAGAGATAACACCGATCCCGAGTGTACCGATCCTGGCAACTCGCCATCTTCCTCTTCATCTTCGGCAGGAATGGATTGGGGAGGAGGGGATGAGGAAACGTCCCGACTCGGCTGCTGCGGCAGGGCTGATGGAGGAGCTTTAGAGGTCGAGGCCTGAATGGCACGGGCCAGTCTCATAGTCTGCCTGCCCCTTTCTGGAGTCTCCGTCACTGGAGAAGTCTCCTGTCTTGCCATCACAGTTGTCACTGTCTCCTGTCTGGCTGTCACAGATGGAAAACCTCCTGTCTGGCTGTCACATGTCGAGTTGGTGCCTCGATCACCGTGTTCACTGAAATCACAGGGGAATCAGGCTGCTCCAAAAGCGGCTCTGGTGACCGCTGTGGCTCCTGAGCGGGCTGAGGGGCCTGCTGAGGTTGAGCTGGCTGCAACGGCGATGACCTCGCCGACGAGGTGGCCGAGGAGGCAGTGGTTTGTCTTCGGGAAGAAGAAGAAGACGAGGATGGAGGCGGCATCGACTTCTTCTTCTTCGCCGGCGGCTGTGCTGTCTTCGACAGAGACTTGCCCGGGGTGGGCGGGACGGAGGATGAGGTGGAAGCACGCCGAGATTCCTCATGAGCTCGGCGAAAGGCAATGCGAACCGCCGTGGAAGATGGCGGAGTCGCCGATGTCGACCTCGTGGATCTGATTGATCTCACCGACGCCACCGAGCTGGTCGAAGAGTGCCGGATGCGCACGGTCTCGGTCGTGACCGTGCATGGTTCCTTCTGCTTCGCAGGCCTTGTGGCCTTAGAAGCTGTCGACACCGAAGCCTTAGAAGCTGTCGACATAGCTGACCTCGGTCTTTTCTGTGCAGCCTTTTTCGCCCTTGTCTGGCGAGGCTCGACCTGAGTCGAGGGATCGACGGATTTTGAGGTCGATGCCTCCTTCGACGTCGATGCCGATGTCGATGGCTTGGATACCGCAGTTGACGTCGACGCCGATGTCGATGTTGAAGGTACCGGAGCCAACGTCTGCTGGTACAGGAGGTATCGAAGCCGATGAACCCGATTTTTACGGGACTGTGCCGTCAACGATTGACAATGACGACACGAAGATGTGATGTGTGCCTCTCCGAGACACAAAAGACAAAGAGCGTGCTTGTCCGAATCAGGGATCTTCCTCGGACAATTCGCGCATCTTTTAAAGCGAGTCGTTGACATAATACTATCCAATCACTAGTAGAAGAATCGAAGCGAGCCGTGCGGCGGAAAAACAGGAATTGTGTCGGTATGCGCGGGGCGCCCTTTTATCCCCTGCCGGGGCTGGGCGGGGTTACCGCCAAAACTTGAAAAGTTTAAACTGTAGAAGTTTCCGTTGGAGCCCGCGCAGGCGCAGTCTCTCCACAAGTGTGAATTCGCAGAGACCACGAAGAAAAACAAAAAATAGCAAAAGAGAGAGAGAGCGAGAGAGCAGAGTTACAAAGGATAGAATTTTAAAACCCTGGGTGAGGTGGATGGGTAGGATAGTGTATCTGGTGGGAGGTTCAGATGGGACAAACAATGGGGTTTAATTTCACTAAGGATGAGATAAAGTACATTGAAGGGCATTTTGTACTGAGTTGATCAAGGTATGGGGATCTGCTGTTCATTCCTCAAAGGCACACCGGAACAGCCAGGTTTTCAGGCCCTTCCTGAAGGCTGCCAGTGTGGACGCTTGCCTAATCTCTCTGGGTAGTGAGTTCCTGAGTTGAGGGGACACCACAGAGAAGGCCCTCTCCCCCGTCGCCACAAGTTGTTTTTGCGACAGAGGTAGAAGCAAGAGGAGGGCCTCCCCAGAAAATTGAAGGGATCGTGCAGGTTCGTAGAAGGAAATGCCCCTTCTACATTACCATATAATAGCCAGATTGTCTACTTTGAACTGGATTATATGGCAGTGTAGACTCGTATAATCCAGTTCAAAGCAGATTATGTGGATTGTATATGGCAGTGTAGGTGGGTCATCAGATACTGCTCAAGGATATTTTGAATGTATTATTTTAGCAACATGACATTGTTGTGCAGACTTAAAGGCACCATGATGAAATAACATGACTTTTTTTTCTTTTAAAAATATTTCCTAGTACTACCAGAGATGCTGTTCTCAATGGGTACTATATTCCTCAAAGCACTTGCATCTTCATTAATATGTATCAAGTCAATCATGATGAGTAAGTACCAAAACAGCTCTTATTTAAAGAATTAATCAGGGCACTGTAGTGATAGTCAAGATGTAGATTCTCCCCTTTAAATTTTTACACCGTTTTATTATTTAGTCGTGACAATAACGTTGAGCCAAAGTATTTTGTCCAGTTGTTTTTGGCACTTTTAGGTGGAGGGTGATGTTTTCAGCTTTGGTCTGAACATTTTCCTTTGCTTCTATCCTTTGTAAACATAGTTAAAACTGCTACCCCATGACATGTTTGGTGGCCTAATCTTTGCTTTGTTGTTTGTTACCAAGTTGTTTTATCATTGTATCTCATTTCAAACTCCTCTCTGCATGTACGAGAAAAAGGTGGTTTCTTTACATTCTCATAAAGAATCTTGCTAAATTTGGCAAGTTATCTAATGCATAGTATTGAAATAAAATATTTTAAATGAATGGATCCCACCAACTGTGTATATCTTGAACACACTTAGAACTCTTCTACCTGCCATATCATCCAGAATATCAAGGCAGAAAATCCGCAATATTAGCTTTGAACTGGATTGTCTGTATCTACACTACCGAATAATCCAGTTCAAAGCAGATAATTTGAATTTAATACAACTGTGCAGAAGGGGCCTTAGTACTCCCAATTAGTGTAGACCCATTAAATGAATGGGATACTTTAATTAGAACCAAACAATAACGTTTATTGTTTCCAGCATGAGTAATAATTTTTAGAGGCCTCTATAATCAAAGTTTGGAATAATAGTGGCATGCTTTCACATTTCTTCCTACTCACAGCAGCCATAAAGTGAGCCAATAATGAAATTTTCTTCACAGTGTTTTTTAAATTGAATTTTTTCTTTGCCTTTGTCTGAGGCTGAGAGAATGTGACTTCTCCAAATCACGCAATGGTTTCAATGGTCCATTCAAATAGTAATCCACTGCTTAAACCACTACATTGCCTTAGCTCTCTTGGAATGCTTATTTGTTTGGATAGTAATTCCCATAATCCCTCAGCCATCACAATCACAGGTTTCTAAGGGTTTTGAGAATTGCAGTAAGTAATGTTTCCAAGTTCTGTGTAAATTGTGTTTTCTTCCCTTTATAACAGAGCTGTGTGGGAGGATCCATATTCATTTAAACCCGAGAGATTTCTGAATGAAAGTGGAGAACTCAATAAGAGCTTGGTGGAGAAGGTTTTGATCTTTGGAATGGGGATACGAAAATGTCTGGGAGAGGAACTAGCTCGCAATGAGGTTTTTGTTATCATCACCACCATCTTGCAACAGCTGAGACTGGAGAAACCTCCTGAAGATCAACTAGACCTGACTCCAGTGTATGGCCTCACCATGTCACCGAAACCATATCGACTTCAAGCAGCATTGCGCACTTAGCATGAAGTAACATTTGAACAGGGGGCAGCCTTCCTTTACAAACCATATAGCATGCAGTAAATATTAAGTAACCCTTGATCGTTGTGTCAAAATAGCTATGGGAAGAGGGGGAATTCAAACTGGGGAAACGTTAGCCTCCTCTCCTCACATCATGAATACGATGATGACGATAATGATAATGATAATAGTGATAATAATAATAATTTTTATTTGTACCTTTCCTTCCTTTACCCACAACAAATGTCAGCATCAAATTTGAGGAAAGCAGTCACATATTGTGAATAATAGTATTATTTGTCCACATGTAAATAATCATAATCATAATCATCACCATCATCAAATAACTTTATTAATATTCCACCCTATCTCCCTGGAGGGACTCAGGGCAGATATGAACAGAAAAAAGCATGAATCATGTAAGTGTATGATGAGTCTGAGACTGAAAATTGATTCAGAGAGAAATGCATCTGTTAAGTAGGAACAGAGAGACAGAATTAATTCTGTAGCATGTAAGACTGAAGAGAGGCTTTGCAAATCAGCTGAAGATACTGGTATGAGGTTGTGTTAAGACAGGCAGTGGGCGTGGCCTTTTCATGCTTGTTTTCTACATAACCATGAAGCAAGGTCAAATCCACATAGGCTAAATAATGCAACCTTACCTTGATCTTAGCCTGTTGGAATACACAGCATACGTCTTCCATTGTGAAAATGCATATTTTCAAGACAATTAAGGGCTTTAAGACAAATAAAAAAACCTTCTGCTGGTTTTCAAAACATATGATTTCACCTCAAATTGTGATTGTGGTTGAAATCACGGGTGGGGGGAGAGTGGTTGATGGGTGGCCATCTAATTCCAGTAATCGCTTAGGCTACCTGATAGTTCCTGCTATTGTAGGGTAGTGTCCTTGTTTTTAAATGTATTTCCACAACTTTTAGTATCATTTCAACTCTTGTATTTCCTGCTTGGTTAATATGCTCTCACATGCTTTAATTGTCCCTGAAATTTTCCCCACATCATTTTAAAACACACAAGGAAATAACAAGTACTGATTGTTTATTTTAGTGCATTGTTCTTGTTCTTCTATTAGAAGCCTTGCCATATCACATGAAAGCCTTGTGTTTTGCCATAATCTGTGCTGCACATGTCATTTTTTATGTCGAGACCAGTTTGTATCCTTTTGGAAATAAATTAGTCTGATATTTTGGTAACAACTTTTGTTTATTTCATTCTGCAAAAAGACAATGTGCTGTTATGGACATAATGGAATTTCAGGAAAACAACTGCTGGTAAAGGTAAAGGTTTTCCCCTGACATTAAGTCCAGTCGTGTCTGACTCTGAGAGTGGGTGCTCATCTCCATTTCTAAGCCAAAGAGCCGGCATTGTGGTCTGTGGACACCTCCAAGGTTATGTGGCCAGCATGACTGCATGGAGTGCCATTACCTTCCCGCCGGAGTGGTATCTATTGATCTACTCACATTTGCATGTTTTCGAACTGCTGGGTTGGCAGAAGCTGGGACTAACAGCAGGAGCTCACACTGCTACCCAGATTCAAACTTGCTACCTTTTGGTCAACAAGTTCAGCAGCTCAGTGCTTTAAGTCACTGCACCACCGGGGGCTCCAAAACAACTGTAAACTTGTGAATAAAACAGGAAATACTGTCGATGGCATTTCCAGGTATCCCATGGGTATTTGGATCTTGGCGGTATTGGTCTGTACTTAGTTGACTTTCATTTAGAGCAATAACACCAGTTATGTTTTGATTTATAATCTGGCTCATGGTTATGCTTTCAAGGAGACAATTTTACACTGCAGGATAAGAGTTTCTCATTTGCTGCAGTGTAACAGCATGTGGGTATAATTGGATCAGCTGTTGGACTATCTGCAGAATGGGTCCCAGAATGGATGGAAGGCTACTAGCAATGCTGCCTCCCCATCACCTCTATCCACAGTAGGATGGCAGCAAAAGTTCAATACTCTGACACCATAAAATAGGATCTTAGTTATGATATTTAAGTTACGTTTATGGGATGTTGTACAGTAACAGGCATTCAACACAGAGTTTAAATCTGAAAACAGTGAATCAAGAAGAGATGAGCAATGGAAGCATGAAACATACTTTAAAATGATTCAGTAAAACCCAAAGTGTGAAATTCAAGAGAATTGAGAATGAAGTTTAGATTCCTGTTTTGTGAGCATCGTGCAGGTTGTGCTGACTTCCACATACAAATTCTACTAACAGAAGAAGCAGGAGAAGAAAGTTCATATAGAAGTAGGACATGTCAGTGACCATCAGTACAAAGAAGGGTTAGGAGAACAGATCTGGAGAATCTGCTAGGGACCCATCACAATTGAACTTTTCAAAGGATAAGTAGTTGCTTGCGGAGTTTCAGTTCAACTCGGAATAATTTAATCTGAGACCTCCTGCTGATGGTGGTTCTGTATAAATCTTTGAAGCAACAAAATCAAAGTGACAGCAGCAAGGACCAGTGCAGTGGCACTGTTCTTTGTAGCCAGAAATGGATGTGAACATTGATCATGTATATTAAAACTGTATGTATCTAGAAAAGAACTGAAAGCTACCCTGCAGTGAGACAAGGCCTTAGCAAAAGATAGAAAAGGAAAACAGCATCATGCCAATAGGGAAGAGGGATAGAGAAAAGGCTGAGCTGCTCGACACCTTTTTTGCCTTAGTCTTCTCCCAAAAGGAGATTGTTCAACTTCAGCAATATGGAGTGGATGAGGTAATATGGGGAATGCAGCGCAAAATAGGTAAAGAAGTAGTCCAGGAATACCTGGATACTCTAAATGAATTCAAGTCTCCAGGGCCAGATGAACTACACCCAAGAGTATCAACAGAACTAGCAGGAGTCATTTCAGACTCACTGACAGTAATCTTTGAGAATTCTTGGAGAATAGGAGAAGTTCCAGCAGACTGGAGGAGGGCAAATGTCATCTTCAAGAATCTTCAAAAAGGGAAAAAAAGGACCCAAACTATACCTGAAAAGATTCTGGAGCAGATCACGAAGGAGACAGTCTGTAATCACTTAAAATACTGTGATCACTTAAAATCAACGTGGATTTTGCAAAACCAGGTCATGCCACACTAATCTTCTCTCTCTCTCTCTCTCTCTCTCTCTCTCTCTTTTGATAGAGCTTGAAAGCTTGGTAGATCTAAAAGAATGCTGGGGATGTAGCATATGTTGATTTCAGTAAGGTCTTTGATAAGATACTCCATGATTTTCTTGCAAACAAACTAGTAAAATGTGGTCTAGATAATATTACTGTTAGGTGGATTTGTAATTGGTTGAGTAACCAAAACCAAATGATGCTCACCAATGGTTCCTCTTCATTCTGAAAAGTGACTAGTGAAGTACCGCAGGGTTTGATCCTGGGCCCATTACTGTTCAATATCTTTATTAATGGCTTGGATGAAGGTTTAGAGGGCATTATTATTAAGTTTTGCATATGTCACCAAATTGGGAGGGATAGCTAATACTCCACAGGACAAGATCAGAATTCAAAATCACCTTAACAGATTAGAGAGCTGGGCCAAAACTAACAAAATGAATTTCAACAAGGAGAAGAATAAGATACTTCACTTAGGTAGAAAAAAATGAAATGCATAGATACAGAATGGGTGACTCACAGTACATGTGAAAAATATCTTGGAGTCTTAGTGAACAAGTTGAGCATGTGCCAACAGTGTGATGTAGCAGCTAAAAAAGCCAATGGGATTTTTGGGCTGCATCAAAAGGAGTAAAGTGTCTAAATTAGATATGAGCAAATTTTGTCCCTCCAGATGTTTTTGAGGTCAACTCCCTGGAATCCCAGCCAGTTTACTGGCTGTTAGGAACTGATGGAGTTGAAGTCCAAAACACCTGGAGGGCTGAAGTTTGCCCATGTCTGGTTTAAATCAAGGGAAGTCATGGTGCGCCTTTATTCTGCTTTGGTCAGACCTTACGTGGAATATCGTATCTAGTTATGAGTGCCACAATTCAAGAGGGATTTTGACAAGCTGAATCATGTGTTGTCAAAAGCTTTCATGGCCAGAATCACTGGGTTGCTGTAAGTTTTTCGGGCTGTATGGCCATGTTCCAGAAGCATTCTCTCCTGACATTTTGCCTGCATCTATGGCAGGCATCTTCAGAGGTTGTGCGGTCTGTTGGAAACTAGGAAAATAGGTTTGGTCTCTTCCAACTCTGTAATTCTATGATCCTATGAAAAAGCAAGGATTGTTTCCAACTAGTATGCTCTGCACTGCTAAACAGTAGTAAGCAAATCACACTTCTATGTTCATATGCAGTCAGTCTGCACACATTTCTAAACTTAAGCTATTTGGGTTAGTTATGATCATGCTGGATGATAAGGAGAGGGCGATTCAGAGAGTAATAGACCAAAACATTTCTAGTTTAGACTTTAGTGTAAGGCAAGCTTCATAGCAACAACATCATACTGATTCTTGATAAAATACATAAAGATATAAGTAGTAGTTGTGGTTCTTCACTGAATTCACACTTTATTTTATGCAAGCACTAGTAATAACTTACAGCTACTCCTGCCCCACACTTTTATTTATTTATTTATTTATTTATTTATTTATCTACATTATTTCTATCCCACCCATATCAGGGCGGCATACACAGTCGGCACAATTCGATGCCATAAAAATACATACATTGATAAGCAAAAAAGAAACATTATAGTGCATTTAAACAAAGACAGTGCATAATAACAATTAAAAAACAACAACAAAAACTATGTCCTCTTGTTCAAATCCTCATCCGTTCCATTGTCTTGGATCGTTCCTGGGTCATTTTCCAATTCAAGTTTGTCTATTTATTCCAAGGTTCCAAATGCTTGCTCGAAGAGCCAAGTTTTTACTCTTTTCCGAAAGGTCAGGAGGGAGGGGGCTAATCTAATATCCCTAGGCAGGGAGTTCCACAGCCGAGGGGTCACCACAGAGAAGGCCCTGTCTCTCGTCCCCGCCAGACGTGCTTGCAAAGCAGGCAGGATCAACAGCAGGGTCTCCTCGGACGATCTCAAGTTCCTGGAGGGTTCGTAGGAAGAGATGCGTTCAGATAGATAAGCTGGGCCAGAACCGTTTAGGGCTTTATAGGCAAAAAGTTAATTATGGTGATATCTATGCATAAAACACATCAATGCTATGATCTGAGCTGGAAAGTGGGATTGCAGTTTATGTATCTAATATGCAAAACAGATTTTTTTTTGCATTCAAACTACAATGTGCACATGAGAAAGATACTATGCTATTTGAAAAAGTGGTAATTCTTGACCTGCAGTGCCACCTTCTGTATGTTTTGCACACTTTTTTGCCAACCTGTTTCTAATGTACTTTCAACATTATTTTATACGTAAACAGAACAAAGAAACACTTTTTTATCATATAAAGATTTTACTGCTGTAAATAGTAACCTTTCCTAGCCTGATCCCACAAAACTTGATTGAAATATCATTCAAACATACTCGAATCTTGTGCAGGATTGTCTTCCTTTTCCCCATGCAGATGATGCCCAGTAAAATAATTTGTGCTGGTGAGTGGGTTGGTGTCATGATCATGGTAATAGTGTCAAAATCATGACCATTTTCACACTACTGCTATATTTTAATGTTTCCACAAATTCCCCCATTTACTTTATTTGGCATCAGCTGAACAAAGTGAAGGAAGACTATTCTGCTGGCATCTGAGCATGAAGAAATGACATTTCTGTCAGGCTTGGCAGGGTCAAGCCAGGAGAGGTAAGTTAGCTAACCACGTAATCCACACAGACTTACAACCAGTGTTCAGAAGAAAGTATTTCTGCTGTAGGTATGTAGCTATTAGTATGAAACCTTCTAAGACTAAGATTATTATTTTTCATTTTAGCAGTTGACAGAGGGCTATATTTATTGCAAAATAGTAAAGAACAATAAAGCCTTTCCTTCCTTGTATTGTCAAAGGCTTTTGTGAGTGGAATCACTGGGTTGTTGTGAGTTTTCTGGGTTGTATGCCCATGTTCCAAAAGCATTCTCTCCTGATGTTTCATTTGCATCTATGTCAGGCATCCTCAGAGGTTGTGGAGTTTGACCATAGATGCAGGCCAAACGTCAGGGGAGAATGCTTTTGGAACTTTTTCTTCCTTCTTTTTGTTGGTTAAAATTCTGATTATTTAGACGTGCCTATTCATTTTGTTAGTGATTCATTTGTATTTG